TCCCGACCAGGCGCCGAGTGGTGCCAATCACAACACACACTGGCCTTGCTAACCAATCACAGCACATTTCGTATTTCAGAAGGCGGGCTTTCATTTGATACAGGAACTATTCGAGCCGTTCATGCCAGACTGGGGAGAGAGAGGTGTTGTAATGTAAAATATGTGAAAAAATAATGTTTTTCGAACAACCTAGTATGAGAGCCTGTTCTAGTACACCCCCAAAACAAAATCAAGACTTTGTAAAAGAGCATAATAGGACCCCTTTAACTCCTGATATTTTACAAAAACAGTCTAAATATGGCAATTACTACCATTTGGGGTCAGTGTTTTTTCTTTTTTCTTTTTTTATCAAATAATGTTATTTAGCAAAGACATTAAATTTTTAAAAACTGACAGTAAAGACTTTTTACATACTAAAAAAAAATCAAATAAATGTTGTTCTTTCAAACCATCTTTTCATTAAAGAATCCTGAAAAAAAAAATATCAGGGTTTCCACAATATTATCATTTTTAACGTTTATAATTAAATGATGTTTTATTAACAAGGTTCGGGAGGAGCACGATCAGATAATCAACCATTTCGGCACAGGTGGAACTCGTGTAGTTAATCAGCTTAACTAGCACAATACGTATATATATATATATATATATATATATATACAGCCAACTTACCTCTGTCCCATGACAGTTTTCCAGCATCCCTCCTCCACCCCAGCTCCTCACTATTAAACTATTCTCATCTCATACTAGGGACTGGGGGAGTTCTCTGGGTTCGGGCTATATTCCGAGCTCGGAGCCCTCCCTTGGGACAGCACGCCAAATATACTTACTAATTGCTCAATCCAATTATATGTAAGTGCAAACTCATGAAACAAAATGTTTCTTGAGCACAAAAAAGCATAATAGAATGATTTCTGAAGGATTGTGAGACACTTTAGACTGGAGTAATGATTACTGAATTCAGCTTTGCCATCACGGGAATAAATTACATTTTAAAATATATAAAAAATATATATTTAAAATTGTAATAATATTGTAATATAATAATAATAATATTTCACAATATTACTGTTTTTGTCTCAGCGTCTCAAGTATGTTGCATACTGTTTAAAATCTGTTGTATGTTGTTAATGTTCAATCTGTTTCACATATTTTTTATTCTGTTTTCACTTGTCATTATAATGTATAGTAGATTGCCACCTATCTACTCTATGAACTATCCAGCAATCTTAAAAAATGCATGCTGTTCTAAAACATTGTCTATTGTTATGTCCATATCAATGTAAAAACTGCATATTTCACATGTTGACATAGAATAGCCATAACTAGGATGGCTTTGCCTCTATTTATATGGAACTTTTATTTGGTGTTTTTGTACCAATCCGCAATTTCTGAAGAACATTTCATGTTTGTTTCAGGCAACAAGACAAAGGAGGGAATGGTGTCAGGCGTAAACACAGGTGAGAAATAAATATGTGTGCATCTTGAGAGAATAGAAACTGAGAATTGAGAAGTCATTTACATTAACTCTCTGTAATATCGACCTTCACAGTTGCCCAGAGGACCACCGACCAGGCGAATATTGTCGGTGAAACAGCGGTAGGCAGCACTAATGAAGTTGGACAGAAGACAGTAGAGGGACTGGAGAATGTGGCTGCAACAACCGGCCTAGTCAACCCGGTTAGTGACTGCCCGTTTATGCTCTTCTCAACCAGCACTAGATGTCACCCTTTCTCCAAAATCAAATTAAATTCACATCTTTTAATTAACATATTGTCTTTTATTCAATCTTTCTTGTGTATTGCATTTTAAAACACCTTTAAATTACTTAAGACTAGCCTAAGGGATCTATGTCTAATCTGGCATAACCACAAACTCGACATCTATTTGACTTTAAAACAGTTTTGATTAATAATACTGCACTAAACTACATATACTGTATAAATACTGGTATTTTGTGTCTAACACATTCTGTTTTGTTTTTCCCGGTTTACAACTGTGCTGTTAACAGGATGAGGCTTTATATGAGGTGCTTATTAAATTGGGTTTGGAATGGTTGATTTGGTTTGTAGAGAGAAGTGCTAGTAGCCTGTGAATGTGGCATATATATACTCGATGCTGCATTTGAGACTGAGCTTTAACATTAGCTGACTGCTGTATCACACCACACTGATGGGGCGAATGTACGCAACCATCCATATAACAGCAGAGTTCAGTTACCTTCATTCAATCCCCTTTGGAGTCATTCTCTTCATTGTGCACAATGAGAAAGAATGGCTGCATTGATTACCTCATTGATTACCTGAATTCCCATCAGTTCCCATCAAGTTAATCAGCTAATATATATAAGTGTTCACAAATTTGCTTGTGGGTGGGGGTGGGGGGCACTCTACTTCTGCGCAGAATTGGGAAGGCAGCAGATGTTTGTTTGTTTAGTATTATTTATGAATATTTTGAATTAGCTTTTATTTTTGATTTTGTTTTCATTTAAATTTGAGTTTGTTTTAGTAATTTTTTATGTGTTTTTGTCATTTCTTTTAAATATTTTTATTTAGCTTTCTTTTTTTTTTCATTTTAGTTTTATTAATTACTACAACTTATTTTATATCAGTTAGTTGCCAAGGCAAAGGTTTTTAAGTTTGAGATGTTCGTCTAATACTTCTATATTTTGTTTTATTTCAGCTTCATTTTAATTAAATATTATTAATAGTTTAATAGTTTTAGTAACAACACTGGCACTGATGTACTGAATGAACTGCAGTGATCTTTAATCACTTGACAGCAAAATTTAATTGATACATTAATACCATAATCAGAGGCAAATCTTCACTTAACACATGTGAGTGACTTGAATGACAAGCAAATGACAGATCTGTCCTCATATTTACCAGTCTTTCATTCCAAATGCATCAACTAACAACCTGGGAACTCTATTGTGATAATAACTCATCTTCATTCTGGCAGGACAGTACAGATGCAATAAAATAGTATGATTCATCAAGTAAATGATGCTAAACCGTTACACTTTCACATCCTCGGACAGCTTACTAATGCCAGGTGTGCCATTGCATTCTGCATTTCTAACTGCTTGTGGATGCATGCTTTTGTTTCCCCGTGCGATATTCTTGCTACTTGCTGATGCTCCTCTTGAAAATACTGTTGAATGATGGTCTTTAAAAAAAAAATCAATAATATGAATTTTTTTGAATGTTTGGACATTGTGCATATATAGGAAAGATGGCTTATCTAGGACCAAAGTTTGGCCTTCAGAGCGTTACTTAAAATACATAAGATGTTTGTCTTCACAATCTCTCATGAAAATGTAAGCACTTATTACTTGAAACAACTTTCCTTTTTGGCACGTTACAGATTGCAACATTTTGTTGAATAGCCTGTTTAACTTTGAAATACGTTAGATTATGAAAGTAAAATTGGTTGCAAACGGCATTTTATGTTGATTTTGAGAGCTGTAAGGAAAGATTTTGTGGGGGGTGTAAAGAAGAAAGAAGAAAGAGAGTAGACTAAGACTGTTGTGAGGCAGAAAGTCCTTGGAGGAGGACAGAGTGTCTGGACCTGACAGTGACTCAGCAGAAGAGCTCAGCAGAGACCGAACAAACAGAGGCAGAGACAGAGACAGAGACAGAAGAAGATGTGCCTGCCAGCTGCATTCACCTTCCACAGGAACTCCATGGCCATCGTTTACATCCCTCCCTCCGTCCCTCCCTCCATCTCTGCAGAGACAACAGTCAACAGACATTTGTCCCTCTGCACAGGCAGTGTCTGAGAGGCCTGTGGCTGTGCTGCATCCCTGCATGGATATTATTTAGTATGGCTGTTTAACATGACAAAAGCTGTTGTTGCACTCCATATGAAGATTTACTGCTGAATATATGAATGCCAGATGGATCTAAAAGCAGAAAGCAGCTGTATCTTGGATTTTAATGGTGTCTGTATTTCACAGGGTGACTTCTCTCATGGGGGCGGCATGGAAGGAGGAGACGGTGGAGAGGTGAGAACAGAGAAAAGCACTTCCTATGAAAACCCTTCACTTTGGTCTCCCATTATTTTTTTTTATTTTTTTTTTAAGCATTGGAGAGACAAATCTCATATTTTTGTAATAAAAAAACCTATTAGATATGTTAATGAATTAATTTGTAACAACAACAAAAAAGTAGCATGTTGCATACCATAAAAGAAACACATTAAATTTCTCCCCATGTATATACTTCTGTTCAAAACAGTAATATGTGACCCTGGACCACAAAACCAGTCTTAAGTCGCTGGGGTATATTTGTAGCAATATCCAAATGAATGTGTAGAACCATCTCAAGGATGATCAGAAGGAATGGACAGCACCTGAGTTAAATATTTGAGTGTCACAGCAAAGGGTCTGAATACTTTGGACCATGTGATATTTCAGTTTTTCTTTTTTAATAAATCTGCAAAAATGTCAACAATTCTGTGTTTTTCTGTCAATATGGGGTGCTGTGTGTACATTAATGAGGAAAAAAAATTAACTTAAATGATTTTAGCAAATGGCTGCAATATAACAAAGAGTGAAAAATTGAAGGGGGCCTGAATACTTTCCGTACCCACTGTATATACTTCTGTTCAAAACAGTAATATGTGACCCTGGACCACAAAACCAGTCTTAAGTCGCTGGGGTATATTTGTAGCAATATCCAACAATACATTGTATGGGTCAGTAAAGATCATGTTCCATGAAGATATTTTGTAAATTTTCTTCCGTAAATATATCAAAACGTAATTTTTGATTGGTAATATGCATTGCTAAGGACTTCTTTTGGACAACTTTAAAGGCAATTTTCTCGATATTTAGATCTTTTTGCACCCTCAGATTCCAGATTTTCAAATAGTTGTATCTCAGCCATATATTGTCCTATCCTAACAAACCATACATCAGTGGAACGCTTATTTATCCAGCTTTCAGATGTATAAATCCCAATTTAAAAAAAAAAAAAAAAGACACTCTGGTTTTGTGGTCCTGGGTCACATATTGTTAAATAATATAATATATTACTGTTTACCATATTAACATTTCTTGTTATTATCAATGTCGAAATCTGCAACCGTGATACATTTTTTTCGTGAGTCTTTGATTCTTTGAATAACAATATTTAAAATCTTCTGTAACAATACAAATGTCTTTACTTTCACTTTTTTTCAATTTAATGTATTCATACTAAATAAAAGTATTAATTTCTTAAAAAAAATAAAATAAAAAATCCTAATGACCCCAAATTTTCAACAGTAGTATATTATTTATTATTATTTAAATACATAATTATAAGATTTATAAGATTCTGTACTATATATTATTATATATAAAACAAATAATGTTTATTGCTAGAAAATTAGGAGTTATGTGTCCCCCCCAGTGGGCAATTGATGTTGAAAAGACGTCAAAAAACAGGTAAAATATGCAAATCAAACTGACATCAAAAGCTTAACATGACATTGATTTGATGTAAATTAAACATCAAATGTATAGCCTACATATACATTAAACCAATTTCAGTGTGGGATTAACTTCCTATTTTCAGCCAATTACCAGTGGAAGAAATTGCCATGCAAACCGAATTTAAAATGATGTTACAGCATCTTTATCAAGTCTTGACTAATATTTGACGTTAAATTGATATCAAGGTGCCCGCCATGTTTGCATGCCGATTAAAATTTTTTAATTTGACCTGCAATCCTGACAGTTAAGGTTAAGCACTTACTTTCACTGACTATTTCCTGAAAAAAGAATGACTTTATTGCGAACTCTCTTCATGGAACGTGTCCAAAGCATCTGCATCTGTGTAGATAAGAATACCAGTATTACACCATATATAAAATGACTTAATCTGTGTTCTTTCTGTTCATCAGGGTTATTAGTCCAGAGGCCTGAAGCTGAAACAGTCCCCTCTCTTCCCTCTGACTCTCCACCTCTGAGTTTCTGCTCCAAAGCCTCACCCCTTCCAGACCCCAGATGTTACTGATATTTTTTGTGACTGTATGGAAAACCAAGTTGAAAAAGACTTTCCCTGAGCCCTGTAGCCGTTAGATGTGTGACGCTTCCCCACCTCTCCATCTGTGGTGTCGTCATGCTGTTCTTTAGTGTTATTGTCATACCTTAACCTGTCCACACCTCATCTAAAACACACACAAACACTCATACATGGACAGGAACCGTGAAGCCCAGAGGCTGATATCAGAGATTGGAGTGGTCTTTTAGGAGCATGACTGAAAGAAAAAGAAAAAAAAAAGAAACCTGCATGACCAGTAATGTAAGAAAAGCAATACATCTCATTTCATCAGGGCATGTAGCAATGTGTGTCTGGATCTTTGTGAGATCATAGCCATGTTTCAATTTATTTAGTCTTGAAAATGCTGCAATGTACACAATAAGTTGTGTGTACATTAAGAGATACATTACATT